TCAATTAATAGAGGCTTGGCATGAGTAAATCGATCCTTAAAATTAATAAGGCGTGCAACATGTTTCTGTTGACGATAAAGAGGTTCCAGTTTACTTTTATTAGTACTACCCCACGCAATGTTCGCATAGTTAATGTGACAATTAATGAGCGAATAATATAGTTTAAGTAATGTATGTTTATTTAAAAAACACCTTGCTTTGTACAAAATTCCTATGCTTTTTGATATTTTATTACTCAAATTTTTTATGTGACTTTTCCATGACAAATTTTCATCAATATAAATACCAAGAAAGTTTGTAACTGTTACTTTTTTTAGAAGTAAATTATCAATAAAAAGCAGTGGCATTTCGTTTGGTATAAGATTTTTTGTGTGATTTGGATGGAAAAAAATCCATTTCGTTTTATGAATATTAAGAGACAGTTTATTTGTCTTAAACCAATCAGAAACTCTTACTAGTTCATTATTGATATTCTGAAATAACAATGTAATATCATTATGAGATAAAAATAAGTTCGTGTCATCTGCAAACATAATCGTCATTAAATTTGAGGTTTTATGGAGATCGTTGATGTAAATAAGAAAAAGAAGAGGCCCTAATATTGATCCCTGAGGAACTCCACAGGTTATATCAAGCAAGTTTACTGGTGAAACTACATCAACGTATACAAATTGCTTTCGATTATTTAAATAGTTTTTTAACCAATTTAAAACAATTACGGTATAAAACTTCCGTTTATACCGTAAATCTTTAGTTTATTTAAAAGAATTTGTGGTCTATTGTATCGAAAGCTTTAGCTAAATCAATAAAAACCCCAACTGTATATTGGGAGTTTTCAAAAGAGTTAGTAATACTTCTTGTAAACTGGAGAACTGCGTGTTCTGTCGAGTTATTTTTTTTTAATCCATATTGATTGTTATATATTAAATTGTTTACAGATAAATGATTATAAAATCTGTTGTATAAAATTCTCTCCAAGACTTTTGAAAATGCAGATAGAATAGAAATGGGACGATAGTCCCATTTCTATTCTATCCTTAAATATCGGAATCACCTTTGCTATTTTTAGTTGGTTAGAAAAAATTCCTTGCCTAATAGAACAAGAAAAAATCTTAAAAAGTACATCTTTAATGATTTCATATGATTTAATAACAATATTTACATTGATATCATCCGCACCTGCTGATTTGTTGGGTTTTAGCATTTTAAAAGCGCATTCAAACTCTTCAAAAGTTAGTTCAAACGAATTAAATTGCGATGTATTAGGGATAAATAGATTACTTATTGGATTAATTGCTTGAGGAATTTTTTGGGATAAATTTGGTCCAACAGAAACAAAATATTTATTCAGCTCGTTAGCTATCTCTTCTTTATCATACAAAAATTTATCATTTGATTTGATGGTTTTAGGCAATGTGAGTGTGTTCATTTTAAAACTGCATGTGATTTCCTTTATAACTTCCCATGTGCGCTTAGAATTTAATTTATATTTCTCAAGTAAATCATTGTAATAATTTTTTTTAAGATTTTTTCTTTGACGTTCGAATTGTTTGGCGTAACTTTTATATATAGCTTTACTTTTATCTGTTTTTAGTTTTAGGAATTTAATGTACAATTTTTGTTTGATTTTGGATGATTTTCTTAACCCTTTAGTAATCCATGGGGATTTTATACTTTTTAATTTACAATGTATTTTGATTTTTGGAAAATTAACATCATATATATCAAAAAAAGTTTTAAAAAATTTGTTGTAAGCCAGGTTAGCATCATCTAAATTGGAAATGTGCCCCCAATGAAGAAGAGACAATTGCTCTTTAAATGTTTCCAAATTCTTTTCATTAAAAATACGTTTAACAAAAATTTAATTTATATTTGGTTACGTTTCCATTTTAGTATTAATGGAAAAGAAAACAGGGAAGTGATCAGAAATGTCACTTTTAATTATGCCTTTTTTAAGAGATTCGTTAAATAAATCAGTTGTTATTATATTATCAATCAGGGAAGATGTTGATTGAGTTATTCTGGTTGGTTTGGTGATTAGTGGAACCGCACCATTTTCAAAAATGTCATTATAAAAACTTTTAATGTTGGGTTTTACGTGATATTCGAAGCAACATAAATTTAAATCACCTATTAAGTAGTTAAATTTCTTTTCATGATTGGTTTTTTTAATTATATCATGATGTAAATATGAACTAAAACTTTCAATTACACCAGATGGTGGGCGATAACAACAACTAATTATAATATTTTTAGCTTTTTTAATAATTAATTCAATTGATAAAACCTCTTTATTGCTATCAGAGATACTCATGTCAAGCCTGGTTAACAATTTCAAGCGTTCCTTTATGTAAATAATCACGCCGCCACCACGTTTATTGGTTTTACGCGCTAATGAAATCAATTTATATCCAGGCAAGTTAAAATTAGAAATAAAATAAACGTCATCAGAATCACACCAAGTTTCTGTTAAGCAAATTACGCTAAGAATGTTAAAAGTTTCATCAATTAAATTACGAAAATTTTTAAAGTTTTTTTTCAAACTTCTTATATTTATATGATTCACATTCAACTTATCCGGTTCAAGAAATTTTTCTAATTCATGGACATACAAATAACTGCACTTGTTTTTTAAAGCACCAGCTCCACTAAAATAATTTAGGTCAGGGTCATTATTGCTGTCCAGTAAAAAATCATTAGTTTGAAATAAGTTAATTAAAGTTGATTGAAAATCAACAGATTCGTTTGAATCCATTTTAGTTATTTGAAATCCAAAAATAAAAAAAATTAATTCTTTTAAAATTCGCGTGTAACTAATTTATTGTATACTACTTTAGCATACTTACCGGTGGCTCGAATATCTTTAACTTTTGCAAAAAGAAGTTTCCGTTTATCTCTTGTTCTTTCGCTAAAATCTTCATTCAAGTATATTTTTTCGTTCCATAATTTGAGTAATCGGTATTCTTTTAAAACGTTTTCTTTGTCTTTATAGTATAAGAATTTTGCAATAATAGTTCTTCGTTTTTTCATTCCAACTTCATTCTTTTTTCCTGTTCTGTGAGCCCTCTCGATATATACTTCGTTCGTCATGCCAAGCTTTTCTTTTAAGAAAACTTTAACTTTAAGTTCGCTTTCCTCCCACGTTTCATTTTCCTTCTCTTCAAAGCCATCAAATCATATATTATTTCTTCTGCTTCTGTCTTCAATTTCCGCAAGTTTATCTTTAAATTCTTCATTGTTTAAAGCTTTTTCATTTACTTTCGTGTTGTGTTTAAGATGTTCTTTAAAGTCGTATAATTCTTTAGTGTCTTTTTCATACATTTCATTTTGAAAAGTCATTGCACTTTTAATATCTGCTATTTCCTTTTTTAAAATTAATTTTTCGCTTTTAAGTACTTCCATTTTTTCCTCCATCCTGTTAACTTTTTCGCCAAAGATTTTTAATATTGTGTTCTCGTGCACTTCAAGTAATTCTTTAATTTGAGTAAATGATAATCCTTAGACATTTTTTTTTTTTTTTTTTTAAAAAAAAAAAAAAATATTTTAAAACACGTCCGTTCGCGGTGAGTTGATGATTTGTAATTGTAATTTGTAATTGTAATATATATATATATATATATATATATATATATATATATATATATATATATATATATATATATATATATATATATATATATACATATATATATATATATATATATATATATATATTATATATATATATATATATATATATATATATATATAAATGTATATATATATATATATATATATATATATATATATATATATATATATATATATATATATATATATATACATATATATATATTTTTATCTGGCTGTATATATTAAAAAAAAAAATTAATAATATTAATTAATATTTAAAAAATTTTTAGATTATAATTGCAGTGTATTTCAAAATATGATGCTTTATGAAATCTTAAGCATGTTCATTGAAATGATGACAATGGCTCGTGTCAGGTAAAATAGTAATATACAATACCAAAATAATAAATTTAAAATCAACAAAGTTAAATAGATATTTAACTTTTTGAATTTTTTTAACTAAATTAAATTATATAACATCTTTTAGAAACTTTTGGGGACTGCTTATTAGTGTTTTTTGAATACTAAGGTTTTAAACATTTACTTATAAACTTTTACAAGCTGAACTAATTATGTTATAGACTTATACAAACTGAACTAATTTTGCAACATTCTTTTGTATAAGTCTGAGACATTATGTCTATTTTATTTTATTTTATTTTTTTCTAGGTTTTCTAGGTTTATAATTGCAATTTGAATTGCAAAGCAATGAAGCTTGTGTAATGGCAATATTTAACTCTTAACAGAAAAAAATTACAAAAATTAATATATGACAAGTTTGTTGATAAGGTAAAAATCATTTTTATTTTGTTAATATTTAGGCAATAATTTAGATTTTTGTTAATAAATAAAAAGAAAGTTACAAATTATAAAGATGTAAAATCTTTATAGTTATAACTTCTAAATAAAGTTTTAATTAAAATTTTTTTCTGTCTTTAAACTTAAAAAGTGTTTAAAATATGTTAAAACTTTTTTTTGCACAATTCAAAATTTTTTTAGGGTAGCAATAAACCGATTTTTATGTTACTAGTATTAAGAACATATAGCTTTTTAAAAAATGAGCTCTGAAACCGTTTATTAGGTTGTTTTTTTTTTCTAAAACTGTTCTTGCTTCAAAAAAAAAATGACGCACCGCTCACTTTTACAAAGCGAATGAAGCAAACTAAAAAACTAAAAAAAATAAGCGACATTTGTGAGGAGGCGCGACATTTGTGAGGAGGCGCGACTTTTGTGAGGAGGCATCCTAGTTAAATGCTTTTCCGCGGCTCTCAGTGATAAAACATAAGGATTTCTTGGAGCCTTAAAAACCATACACACACACACACAAAAGTGATCTAAATTACAGTTTTTAGAACAACAACATATTATAACATACTCAACAAACAAAGTTTCTTTATTAAAGACATTAATTTAAAAAAAACAACAGTTTTTTTAATTAGAGCCTCAAGTTTCAAGTTATTTTTTAAATCAGTTTAGCTCATTTGTCAAAATATTTTTATCTTGCCTGAAATCTTGTCAAATTTAGATTGCTTCAAGATAACATTAAAGCTTCAACTTTGAAGATATTTTCACTGTTTATAACTAATTTTTTACGAAATCTTTGATTCATTGTCCTCACTTTCAGATATTTCTTTCTTCCATTTCATTCGACGGTTTTGATACCAAGTTTTAACCTAAAATTATTTGATAATTTATAAAGTTTTAAACTAACATTTTAAGCATAATTCACTTAGAAAAACAGTTACAAATATTTTTTCCCTAACATTTCATCTCAATCTCACCATATTTATCAATTTTACTTTTTTGAGGCTCTTTTGAAAATCGTTCTTAAGTGGATCTTCAAAATCCTTTTTTCAACAGTACTTTAGAAACAAATGAAAATAATTTTATGAATATGGTCACAAGTTTAATGTACTAAAGACACAAGCCCAAAGTTGAGACTAAAATCTTTTAATGATTTTGAAAAAAATTGAAAACTGATTTTGTACTAATTATTTAAGTAAAAATGTTTTTGTATTAGAATCAATGAACACAATAAAAAAACTGGAGCTTCTTATTTTAATGAAAATTTTATGGTATCCATATGATTGTCCGTAATAGAATTTATGAATTTTTATGGTAACTTAAGTAAGGTAACATAACTATGATTTGTCTTTCTACGGTCAAACAATCCTAAAAGCTAACAGCGTAGTATAAAAGCATTTTAGAACTAATAAAAATAACCTGTGTTTGGTTTAGGCCAAGCCGGTTTGCTAACTTTGTTCTTTGAGATGTCAATAGATACTTTCGATTGTTAAACTCACGTTCAAGTATCATAAGTTGAAGATCAGAAAATACTGTACGAGGTTTTCTGTATTTTGACCTAGCGAATTTCTCTTTCGACTTTTTGATCTGGAAATATGTAGATACTTCTTCAACTTTAGGTATAATAAAATCTATAAATATATAGAGTCGAATAAAAATAAAATATTAGTTTATTACATGTATACATGAATGCATGCATACATGAATACATGTAGGATAGTTACAATGCTATAGGTGAAAAAAAATATCCAAAAGTTATACGAGGGAATCCCCTAAATTGCGTTACTTGACTAGAAAATGACAGCTATAAAGTTTTAGTTCAATCGGACAATGATTACCCGTGCCTCATTGGGAAATTTGGGGAAAATTTGTAGTTTTTTTACTGTAAAATGAAAACAGCTCAACCTATAAATGTGATATGGGTCTCATTTTTAAATCTCAATATCTTCACTTATTAGTTACAGTTGATAGTTTTTGAAATATTTAGATTTTTATATGTAGATTAGAACCTCCCTGTTACGCAAAAATGCACAAGAACTTAAATAATGTTGTAAAAATAGTTCAAAATAAAACAATTTGTAATCTTTTTAAATTATTGTTTAAATAATTGTTCTGCTCACTTAAAAATATTAATTAATCAAGCAAATGAATAATTTATAAACTTAACGTATTAAAGAATAGGGCTAAATAAGGCCTTCAACCAATAAGGGATAATAACAATTATTTATCTATTATCTTAGTTGATTAATTAACTAATAAAATTTTAATTATTATTTATATTCAGTTTTATTGCTTTTATATTGATGGAAAAATAATGAAACAATACGCAATATTATTATTATTTACGAGTTAACAGATTCTTTAAATGAAAAAAAAAAAAAAAAAAGTGTGTTTCGTTTAGTAAAAAAAAAAGGCCTTTAAGATTAGGTACAATTTGTACAATAAAATAAAAAAAAACTTTTTTATGAAATAATCTGAAGACTACTTAAAGGTCTTTAACAAGTAAAGAGAGCATATTTTATTTAACTGTAAATAAAATAGGGTCATTACAACTCTTCCGTATACCTTACAGTTGAAAAAAAAATTCAGGTAGCCTGTTATTCGGAGTCCCTTTATTCTTTTTAGTTGAAGTTAGGTTTCCATTCAATAAACAGTTCTAATATTTTTATTCAAATCATTTTTTTAGTGTTTAGTGAATTTAGTGCATAGTGAGAAAGTAAAGATGGCTTCATTAAAATCTACAGACAGTAGTTCAAGGCAAACAGATAAAATATATTTAACTGAATACATGATTCACCAAACTACTGGTAACTAAGTTACCATCAAATAGTCAAGTTTTACGCAGTTTGTTTTAAAATATTCATCAAGTAAAGTTAAATGTAAAAGAAGTTTTAATTTTTTGAGGAAAAAGTAAGAACCCAAAAACAACATTTAAAAGACTGTGTTGAAAAGCTGGAAAAAACTCATGAGGAATGGAGAAAACTGCAAAAAAAAAAATGCAAATAGAACTAGTGCTGCACAGACTGAAAAAGAAGAAGCTTTTAAGGTAACACTTGATGACCTGTTTGACATTGCTCATCAAAATGCACTTAAAACTGCAGCGACAGTTATTCTTACTCAAACAATGAACCCAGGTTGCATGAGAAAGAGATCGTCCAGGGAGGAGTTGATTTTAAGTTCTTGAAAACTTAAGAGCGTCGGCAAAAAAGACTTTTGAAATGATAAGAGCAGCAAAATCTATGAAAAGTGTAGGTCAGTTATTTAAATCTATAACTATTTATTAGTATAAAAAAAAGGTTATAATTATTAAGTTATAACTATTCATTTTATTATTAAAATAAATAAAATTAAAAAAAAATGAATTTTCAATTAAAAAATGCGGCCTATATTATTTTATGGATAAAATGTATTCCATTTGCGTCAGCTCTCCGTCAGCTTAGTGTCAGCTTATTTTCAGCTCTAAAAAATATTCTCCTTCAGCTTAGTGTCAAAAAGTGACTAAAAGAAGTCATAGTTGTTTAGAAGATTTATTTATATAAATAAGAGTAAAGGTCAAACTTAGACCATTTTTTAGTTAATCCTAACAACCTTTAATTAATTATTCTAACATTTTATTTAACCATAGTAATGTGTTATTTTTTTCAGAATAAGAAAAGTTTAAATCTTTAGAAAGCAGAACATCAGATGATATTGTTCAATGCACAGAGGAGATAAACACTAGATGATGAGTCTGACAAAAAGAAGAAAAATTACATCCTGAGAAAATTATTACTGAGCTGAGGAAGTTATTACTGAAAAGTTATCTTTATTATTGGATAGGTGTACTATCTCAAACAGAGACGCTGCTCGAATTATAACAGCTACAAATGAATCTTCGACGTGACTCTAAGAAATTTATTTTGAGTAGGAGCATCATCGGCTTACGCCGGCAAGAATTTAAAAAAGAGAGTGCAAAACTCATTTAGCAAAGATTTATAAAATCAATTTTAAAAGGAGCTGTGGTACACCGGGATGAAAAGCTACTTCCAGATTATTTTAAATAAAGAGAATGTCAAGAAAGTTTTTTGATAAGTTGCGGAGAAGAAGAGCAGTTAATTGGAGTGTCATAGTTAGAAAAAAGTGAGTTTATGCAGCATTTAAAGAGTGGGGCGCACGAGACAAGATTGAGGCAATGTGTTTTGATACAATTGCCGTAAATACAGGTCGTTTTAAGTGTGCTTGTGTTAAATTAGAGCAATTAATGGGTAAAAGGTTGCTGTACATTCCATGTTGCCACCACATTTTGGTTTGATGAGAAAGACGACAGACCCTCAACCTTATATTTTCAAAAGATTTCAAGCAGAATGACCAAAGATTATAAGAAAATTTAAGCCAGGAATAGATAACAAGGTTACAGCAAACAAAGTGATCAACCCAGATGAAATGGTTAACTATCTATTAAAGCATTTAACAACATCCAAGGGATGATTTTAAAGAACTAATTAAACTTTATTAAATGTTTATTCTTTATCAGAAAATGTTGTGGCCAAAATCATCTGGCCACTTAATATTTATAGCAAAAAAATGTTTCTGTACTGTATGATGTATGCCTTTATTACTTAAAAACATTTTAATTCCAAAAACAACACTAACATATAAAAATAAAGTCAAGGTATAAGACATGTTGTCCTCAAAACTTTAAATCAGCCCCTATTTTTTGCGGCATTGGGGCACAATAGTCGAGCATTATTTTAGGGCACGTTTTTTCTTAAAGCTTTTCTCAGATCTGCTAAATGTTTTTTTTGCAGGTTTTTTTTAAACTTCTGTTTAAAACTACCTGCTTTTAATCTTATAAACTTTTGATGGTTTTTAAGTTGCCACATCAAGTTGCCCTGTTGTGCATGAAAATATATAATTTTATTATTTGAAATCAATTAGTCACACTGTTCTTCAAAATTTCCAAATAATTTGCAGAATTGTTTCATCTTGTTGTAAAAGTTGTAAATCAGCATAACCGTTCATCCCAAATCATAGTTGCTAGGTATTGTTTCACAGAAAATGCAAAGTAACAGGCATTGTAGTGTGAGTTGGATTGGTCAGGGTTAAATAATTTAAAAATACCTTTAAAATAAAATACATTTAAAACACCTTTAAAAATACCTTTAAAATAAAACAATTTGTAATCTTTGTAAATTATTGTTTAAAAGATAATTTACAGATTTAATTGAAGCAATCTTCTAGCTTAAATTTATTTATTTAATCAAACAAATAATTGATTTATAAAACTAACGCGTTTAAATGAATAGGGCTAAATAAGGCCTTCAACCAATAAGGGATAATAACAATTAATTAACATTAAATTAGTTATGTATTATTTTGATTGATTAATTTACCAAATATTTTTAATTATTACTTATATTCAATTTTATTAAATATAAGTAATAATTAAAATTAATTTATTGAATAATAATAATTAATATTCATTTTTATTAAATATAAGTAATAATTTAAATTAATTAGTTAATTAATCAATCAAAATAATACATAACTAACTTAATGTTAATTAATTGTTATTATCCCTTATTGGTTGAAGGCATTATTTATTAAATTATTAAAATTAATTATTTATTTGATTAATTAAACAATTTTAAGCTAGCAAATTGCTCAACTAAATCTGTAAATTATCTTTTAAACAACTATTTACAAAGATTACAAATTGTTTTATTTTAAAGGTATTTTTACACCAGTATTTAACTTCATGTGCATTTTTGCGTGACAGAGAGATTTTAGCCCTTTTCTGGTCTACATATAAAATCAAAATATTTAAAAAACTATCAATTGTAGCTAAAAAGTGAAGATAATGAAATAACCTAGTGAACAAAATGAGACCCACATCACATTTATGGGATGAGCCGTTTTCATTTTACAGTAAAAAAACTACAAATTTTCCCCAAACTCCCCAATTTTTCCAAGTTTCATTCTTTATTTTTCCAGGTTTCATTATCTGTGACCACCCTAAAGCATACATCCATCTATCCATCCATTCATTCATACATTCATACATACATACATACATACATACATACATACATACATACATACATACATACATACATACATACATACATACATACATACATACACACATACATACATACATACATACATACATACATACATACATACATACATACATACATACATACATACATACATACATACATACATACATACATACATACATACATACATACATACATACATACATACATACATACATACATACATACATACATACATACATACATACATACATACATACATACATACATACATACATACATACATTTACTAACGAGGTAACAAAATCATAGTTTTTTTAAGGAGTTATCAAATTTAGTTACTTATCTGCATTTAACTTTCTGTAGAATAAAATATAAATAGAATGGTTCAATACAAATATTTCTATACAAATTTCATCTTTCTAACGCTAAGTTTGGACTCTTCTCAATAATATATAATAATGTAATATTTTAATAGTTTGAAATTTTTACAAACGTAGGTTGTACTAAATGTTAAATAATTGTTTTATACTAAATCATTTTTATGTGTTAATAATATTTTTTAAACAATACTGATAAGTTAAACAATA